AGGGTGGCAGGAAAGGCGAGCCGCGGTCCTGCAGCGCATCCTTGGGAAAGCACACATCCCTGTTGCGCCATGCCCTGAGCTGGAAGGGATCCACCAGGATTGTGAGCCCAGCTTCTGCTCCTACAGCCCAAAAATCCCATCCTGTATGCATTTTTGGGAAAGCACACATCCCTGTTGCGCCATGCCCTGAGCTGGAAGGGATCCACCAGGATTGTGAGCGCAGCTCCTGCTCCCACAGCCCGACAATCCCACCCTGTGCTTCACAGTGGTGTCCCAAATCTCCTGGAGATCTTTAGGGCCGTGCCCGTTCCCTGGGGAGCCCGGGCAGCGCCCAGCATCCTCTTTTCCCGATATCCAACCTAAATCTCCGCTGGCACAGCTCCAGCCTGTCCCGATCACAAAGATCAGCAGCACCTATTCCCTGTGAGGAAGCTGCAGAGCCCAAACTGTGTCCCCGAGCCAAGTGTCCTCTCCAAACCCTTCAGTCGTTCAGCCCCGCTGCCGGAGCAGGTCGTGTCCCCTGTATGGGGCCGTGCTCCGTCGGTAGCCCGGGGACACAGGAATCAGTCCCACACCCACCCCGCCCGCTGCAATCGCCCCAGAGATACGGGACAAAGCACACCCAGAGTTTGCCCTCCTCGTTCTGGTGTCAGCAGAACTGCTGCAGAGCTCCGGAGCTCTGCCCAGGGATGTGGCTGGATGTCTGTGCATCCTCCGGTCACAGCCCTGCTGCTCCAGGGCCAGACTCGGAGCAGGTCAGGAAGGGAGAATCCTGATGTGACAAAAGGGATTGACCAGCTGGAGAAGGCTGGTGGAAAGAAGAGCAACGAGTTGCAAAAATACCGAGGCCTTTTCCACACCCACTCATGAAAAAGATGCACACCCGGGGAATTTTTGAATCCAGGGGAAGCAGGGATTTTTTTGGAATAAAATGAGATGATCTTTAAGGTCCCTTCCAACCCAAACCATTCTGGGATTCTATGAGCAGCCAGGAAAAAAAAAAAAAAAAAAAAAAAAAAAAAAAAAAAAAAGATGTTCACAGAGGAGCACTCAGAGCAGCATCACGCCCAAGGTGACATCCCCCGAGGGGATTTGTCACCCAGAACGGAGCAGTGCAGCTGCAGCGGGCTGGGAGAGCTCACCCCCTGCCCTGGAGATCCCCTCCATCCCCTGCTTATGCAGCAGTTACAAAACCCAGAAATTTCTTCTCACTGCAGGCATTCAGCGCTGCCCATTCTCTCTCCTACCTTCCACATCCCAAATTCAGCAGCTACAAAAGTTCCTCCACCTTTCCTAAGCTACAGTCAAAACAACCTCTCACGCCCAAAAAACGTGGGGTTGGTTTTTTCCTTCATCCCGTCAAGTTTTACCTTTTGAAATGCAGATGGTGGGAGTGGCTTGACCTGCCTCTTACTCATCGTTAGTGCTTTCAGCTGGGTGTTCAACAAGATACAGATCTTACTTTTCCAGTTCAGGCCAGGTACAGGTTCCTACTGCTAAAAAATGCTCATCCTCCTGCTCTTTCAGCACATCCTAGTGAGCATTAATAGCGCGTTTGCCTCTAAGGTCTCATCTTGCTTCCCTCCACCTTTGCTGGCCCTCCAGTAGCCTCAGTAACACCTGAGATGGAGCTGCTTTAATATTTAGCTTAGGACAAAGGAAAGCATGGACAGACAGGAGGTTATAGGGCTGATGTTATCACATTAGGAGCATGGTTAGGTGGAATATTAAGAGAAAAAAAAAATTCTTGGCTCTGAGGGTGATGAGGAGCTGGGATGGAATTCCCAGAGAAGCTCTGCCTGCCCTGGAAGTGTCCAAGGCCAGGTTGGATGGGGCTTGGAGCAACCTGGGATAGAAGCAGGGGATTTTTGGGATAAGATGAGATGATCTTTAAGGTCCCTTCCAACCCAAACCACTCTGGGATTCTATGAGCAGCCAGGAAGAAAAACAGAGATGTTCACAGAAGAGCACTCGGAGCCTTAACAAGGCATTTCATGCAGGAGGTGGGACACACAGAAGCTGTGCGTTGTTTTTATGTTTCTAGCACAAATTTTGCACGGTGAGGCGCAAGGTAGCGAGTGAAATCATCTCCCTGTGGATTATACCAGAAGTGAGGTGCAGCTTTATACACCAATTTTCCTGTTTGCTTTGTGCAGAGTCAGCCCTTTCAATGGGCTGCGTTGCTCTGCCTCGTTTGGCCTGCAGATGAACAGAGTTCAGCAAAACAGCTCAGGGCAGGAACCTCTGCACACAGTTGTTTGCACACTGCTGCCAAGTTTAGTACAGCCCCAGCCTTCCCTCTGCTCTCCTGAACCTGTTCTAACCAGAGCTCACAGCAATAAAAAGCATCACAGAATGTATTTATTATCTTACCCGCACTGGGAAACTCCTTGTCCACAGTTGAACTGGGAATAAACAAGAGCTGGAGACCTGGGAGCGACGGGACGTTATTAAAACTCAGCTTTTGTGGCTGTAAAAGCCCTCAGGGATATTTGTCAGATAAAAAGCAGACACCTCCATGAAAAATCACATTCTTTGCAATAAGAAATACAGTGGGCTAGTGGAGCTGGGTGATTTTCTAGCATCACATTAGAGGGTTCAGCACTAAAATTATCCTTGGGTGAGATTTAGCAGATGAAAACCTGAGGGTACTTATTTTATACCAAACCTCCCCAGGTAACTCTGGTGGCCCACAAGCAGTCTGGGTGCACTGGGATACCTTCCCAATTCTGTCCCTCAGCTGAAGGAAGAGGTTTTTCTCATTGGAAACCAATCCAGGCTCTCCTCAACTCCAGCAGGAGCAGAAACAACCAGAACCAGGCACTCAGTGGTGATTAGGACATCTCATACCCCTCATGATGTTCTCATGCTTTTGATTGCTTCTCCAGAGAAACCACAGACAAGTTACCCTGCAACTCTTCAGAACTGGGCATGGCCCCAGTGAAACCAGAGAGGCAGAGGAAAATAAAAGCAGCCTGGCATGGAGGAGGCCA